AGAGAGAGAGAGATCAAATAACATCATGGAACTCACAACTTGTTTAAGTCCAAGATTCAGTGTCTCATCAACTTTCTCAGAGTAGCGTGATATCTCATAATCTTCTTGTGCGAAAGATCTCACCGTACGAATTGCACCAAACAATTCCTGTAACATTTGATAATTATGTATCTAATTTCAACAAGACAACATATTTTATCCTGTGTAGTACAGGCTTCATAGTATATCTTCAAACTACAGGTCTACAGCGCAAAAAAAAATTGCTAGGCCATCAAAATTTCCATAATTGATAGAAAAGAATATATATATATATATATATATTCTTTGGCTATAACTTATACATTTCAAAGTGTAATAAATCCACGTATAATTGGACTAAGGAACAATCTTGGTAAATCCACGTACATTTCAAAGTGTAATAAATCCACGTATAAGTGTAATAAATCCACCTATTTCCAGGGGTTGCTGCTAATACTCTTAGATTGCCAATAGAAAACTGACCAGGAGTATATATGGAACTAATTAGGAAGTCCAAGGGATGTAATACAAACTCCATAAAACAACTCAGAAATTAGGAAATACCAATTGATTTCGAATAAGTACATGAACAATCCTTGTTAGTACAGAGAATAATATTTCCATTCAATCATGCTTAACAATGCAAAAGAATACTTATTTTCACGCTCATGTATATTGCTTAACAATGAGCAACTATAATCTCTACATCAAGCCTTGAAATAACAAAAACCCATCAATCAATTTCGCTTAACTTGATATCCAAAACCAATGTGATTGAATGCTATTAACCTTAACGGAACAGAAGAGAAAAGAAGGGGAAAAGATCGAACATATAGTCGCATAAAAATATGACATTGAAATTTCAGACCCAGTTTAGAATTTCATTAAATTTGATCTCAAGAGTCAATGTGATTCAATTTATAAGTACCCACCAGGAAATCAATTGCTTTCTAAATTAAAAATTGGGACTTTATCCACGAATGAGAGGGAAATTAATAAGACTCATAAAAATTAATTACAGTTTGAATGAAATTATTCTAAATCCAGGAGTTCAAATCCAAACCCAAATCATACTCCCAAAAATCGAAAAAAGAAAAATTAAAAACTGGGAAATCACTTACCTTTAAAAAATGCAACTAGCGTCCAGTCTCCCTCTTTGTCTTCATAAGACAAACCAAATTCAGATGATCCATCCAAAAGCTTGGAGGGCTTAGATACTTGTTCCTAGATCCATCCAAAAGGATCTACCAGTTGCTGCCGCTGACGGAGAAGCGGAAATAGAGGGGTTTCCACCGGAGACAAAGGAGGACTCCTTCCCCTCACCCTCTCTAACATTGTTTCTTTCTCTAGAAAGAAAATGGAGTTAGGGTTTGAGGGATTTTTAGTTTTGAGGGTTCATTTCTTGAATTCAGACGATGAAAGGTTAGGGAATAGAGAAGAAATGAACATGTTTGGGTTTTAACTCGATCCAACGGCGGAAGACGAAGATCAGGAAGGTTTAGGCAGATGCGGCGCTAGGTTAAATGGGGAAAGAGGGATCTGTTTTGAAGAATGAAGGAGAAACGAGAAAGAAAAAGAAAATAAAAGGAGAGAAGAAAAGAAAATGGAGAGAAAAAGAAAAAAATAGATTTTTAATATTTTTATTAATTAAAATGCCACGTGTCTCTTTATTTTAGTCAGAAATCTCTTCACGCGTTATTTAACGCGCGTGTTTTTCACTCGCTGACGAACGCTTGAAAAAGTATTAAATTGGTCCATTTATATAACGTTTGGTATCAAATTGGATGAAATAAAAGGTTTGGTACCAGGTTACTATTAAACATAAAGGTTTGGTACCAGATTGAGATTTCAGCCCTTCACACACCATCCAATCTTAAGTACTTTAATTATGCAACTCAAAAAAGCTATAATCAATAAACTTCTAAAGCAGATACTCCATCTCATATTATGATCTGTCCTTAATTTTGAATCAAACTAATCATATCTTTAACCTTTAATTTTATTAAAAAATATATATACAATTAAATTTTCAAAAAATATGTTTTGAAAAGCTTAATACTGAACTTAATTAAAATATAATTTTTAAAATTAAATGTTTATATAATTTTTTTATAATCATGGTTTTGAAAACCGGTTTGACCGAGTACCGGAGGATTATCCGGTCCGGATAGTTTAGTTATTTTTTGGTTAGTTAGCAAAGTCAAGACCTGGTTCGACCGGTTCAACCATCTGTTAGACTGGGAAATTAGACCGGTTTTGACCGGTTCTAGACATGTTGACTATTTTAAAAATTTTAAAATTTGAAAAACTATTTATTGGTAGTGGGATTTTTTTTTTGGGTACCTCACAAATGTTTTATTAAAGAAAGTCTGTTAGTACAGAAGTAGAGAAAAAACTGAAAAACAATCAAGGAAAAGGATGCTACGGCCAAGAGAAGGATATCTGCGGTTTTGCTGCTGTCCGAGCCATCTTGTTAACCTCCTTTACCAATGGGTACCATTCTTTGAAGAAGCGAACTTCGATCTGGCTTGCCAAGGTCCTGATGTCATCAATCACTAGCTTAATTTTCCAATGAGTCACAATATTGCCCTTAAAATGGTTGCACCATTTTTTATTCCGCCCTCTTAACCAGAATGTCTCAACATCCATTTCCTTGAATTTAAGCAGAATGCATCTTGCAAAAAAAGTAGTGGCCATCTGTTTGCTTGGTGTTTGTACACTTCTTGCAATAATTATTGCGTCTCCCTGTGCATCTGTCGCCATCATAGCACATCCATACCAGTTTCTGTTCTGCTCCTTATGAACTTTTACAAAGACCATTCGATTTTTCCCATGGAGGAATGGGATAGTATCATTAATCACTACCCCTAAGCTGCTGTCACTAACTCTTGTTCTCTAGTAGCTTTCCTCCAGCCTATTACCATCTTCGAAGGTTATGACGATTGTTTTGCAATATCCTCTAGATCTTTGAATGATGGTTAAAGGGTTCACACTTGCACCTTCAAATAAACATTCATTTTTGTGGATCCAAATCATCCATAGTGTAACAGCAAACTCCTTAGTAAAATGGGACTCCCCTACCTCAGTTGGATTAGTTTTTGCTAGCCATTGCATCAACCAATCAACAATGTTCACCTGTTCAAAAGCCTTAGTTCTCAGTGATAGACTTGACCCAAACCAAACAGCCCTAGCCACATCACAATTCCAAAAGAGGTGTTCTTGTGATTCCTCATGTGCAGAGCAAAGCCCGCATCTAGAGTCAACATTCATTCCTCTTTTGGTCAGCTCAAGTCTGGTTGGAAGTCCTTTGTTACACATTTTCCACAGGAAAATGATGATTTTAAACGGAAGTTTTAGCTTCCACAGTGCTTTCCATTCTCTCCTCCTACTGAAGTCCACTTGGTTCCCCATTTCTGCCATAAGAATTTCTCTATGGGCAGATTTAACTGTAAAACATCCACTGAATTCATTTCTCCACACAAGTTCATCTTCCCTATCCAGCATTGAGAAGTCCTTGGTCTTTAATTCCTCCCCTTGACCTGGCTGAAGCAGTCCCTGTACTAGCCAGTGAAGTCATTGCTGGCTTCTCTTGCAAACCAAATTCCTTACTGGTATAGCTGTTGCATTATTTTCTTGGTGAAGCAAATAAGTTGTCAGTCTTCCCTCATGTATGGATAGCTTGTCGCCCTTATTAATCTGGATGTCAGCTCCCCTCAAGCACACATCCCTCCCTTGTAAAAGGCTTCTCCAAACCCAAGAATCTCCTTGCTTTTTCTTAACCACCTCAAGGCTATGATTCCTGCAATACTGCCCTGTTAGTTGTCTTGTTAGTATCGTTTCAGGTTCTTTCAGGATTTTCCAAGCCTGTTTTACTAAGAGTGCCAAGTTCATATTTTCCGTTTTCCTTATTCCTAGACCTCCTACAGCTTTTGGTTTGCATAATTGGTCCCAGTTCAACATATGTAGCTTCCTCTCCCCCTCTTCATGCGCCACCAGAAGTTCCTTATCTGTTTATATTTTCCTACATACTCCTTGTGGAGCTTTGAAAACTGAAAGTTGATAGTTTGCCAGAGAGGCTAAAGTTGATTGGATTAGAGTCAACCTTCCTCCTTGCGAGAACAGTTGAGCCTTCCAGCCTTTTAACCTGTTTTGGAACTTTTCAAGAAGGGGTTGAAAGAAGGTCCCCCTTTTTCTCAGGGCACTCATGTCCATGCCTAAGTACTTTCTAGGTTTATGCACTACGCTCACTCTCAGAATTCCTTTAAACCAACGCCTCTGTCTCGCCTTACAGTTTGGGCTTAGCAACAATTCAGACTTTAAAATTTAGTTTCTGACCTGATAAGAAGCAGTACTTGTTGATGATTTCCCTAACTTTTCTTGCTGTGAGAACTGAAGCTCTGAAGAAAATGTAAGTATCATTAGCAAATAGAAGGTGGTTTATAGGTTCACATCTTCTGCCAAGGCTGATTCCTCTGATACTTTCCTCTCTTTGTGCTTGTTCCATCATGAGCGAGAACACATTCTGGCAAATAATAAAAAGGTAAGGGGAAATTGGATCTCCCTACCTTAATCCCCTTTTTGGTTCAAATCTTGGTAATGTTCCTCCATTCAGTAGAATCTGATAGGATACCGTACTGACGCACTACGAGACAATTTGAATCCAATGTTGATTGAATCACATCCTTTCAAGAGTAACTTTTAGGAAGTTCTAGCTTAATCTATCATAGGCCTTGTTCATGTCCAGTTTTAAAGCTCCAAGCACTCCCTTTCCTTTTTCCTTTTCAAAACTGTCTCCAAGATCTCTGCTCCGATCATTACATTATCAGTGATAGATCTGCAATGGATAAAGGCTGATTGGAAAGGTGTGATCAGGTTTTTTAGACAGAGTTTTAAGCGGTTAACTAGAACTCTGGAAGCGATTTTGTAGATGACATTGTAGAGGCTAATAGGTCTGAAATCATTTACAAGATTTGGTTCAAGAGTTTTTGGGATGAGAGCTATGAGAGTTCTGTTTATCTCTTTTAGAATGAATCTTGAACTCAGGAAGCTTAGAGTTGCATTTTCTGTGTCCTGTCCCACTATATCCCAATATTTCTGGAAGAATTCACCCGGTTTTCCATCCACTCCTGGTGCCTTTCCTGGATTGATTTAGAAGGCGGCTCTCCTTACTTCCTCTCTGTTGAAGGGCTGTCCAAGTCTTTGCTTATGTTCATTGGTTAGCTCTGGTATAGCTAAACTCTCCAAACTAGCTCTTATTTCCTGCTCAGATGCTTCTCCCTCATTTGAAAACACTTCACGAAAATGATCCATAAATTCCTTCTTCAGCTCTTCAATTGATTCTGTCATCTGCCTATCCCTTTTCTCAACACTTGCGATTTTGCTCCATGCTCTTCTTCTATTGGTCATTGTGTGAAAGAACCTGGTATTCATTTCTCCCTGTACAATCCGGTTAGTCCTGTATTTTTGCTGCCAATGAAGTTATTCCTCCTCCATCACTTCCTGTAGTTCTGCCCTGACTCTAACTTCTTCATCTCTGTTATACTTGTCTTCAATTCCTTCCTGCAGCTCTCCTGAAGCAGCTTCCAATTTCTTCTTTTTCTAAAAAATGTTGCTAAAGCATGTTTTATTCCAACTTTGAAGTTCATTCCTTATGATTTTGAGTTTTTGCACTAATCTAAAAGGCATAGACCCTACAAGGTTTTGATTCCAACTTCTCCTTATAACTTCCTAGCAGTCCGGATGGGTTGTTCACATGTTCTCAAATATGTATGGCCTCTTCCTAAAACTCCCCTTGTTTACCAGTTGCATTACCAATGGGTTGTGGTCAGATACAGTGATAGGTAGGTTGGTGAGAGTTGCATTTTCGAACTTCTGGAACCAGCTGGAGTACGCAAATTCTCTATCCAGCCTTTCCCATGTCAGCCTTCCTTCTTCTCTTCTATTCGACCATGTGAAGTGTAATCCCTTATTTGCAACTTCAGCTAAACCACACTCGTTTAGGCATTGTTTAAATATTTCAGCTCCCCTAATTTGGTTAGAGGATTCTGAAAGTTTGTCTTTTGAATGGAGTACTTGGTTAAAATCACCCATTACTAACCATTCATCACCCTGTGGTATCTGTCTCCTCATATTTTTCAGTTGTTCCCATACTTCACCTCTTTTTGATAATTCAGGATGCCCATAGATACAAGTTAACCACATTTTAATGTCCTTGTAGTGGAGATAGAGCAAACTAAGATTTTTATTAATAGATAAAATAGAGACTTTTACATCATCCTTCAATAACAAAAGATAGCCACCACTAAGTCCCTGGCTATTGACCCCAACACAAGAGTTAAAACCCCAATCTCTACCATGTTGAACACAAACATTGGGTCAAATTTTCTGGCCAAGTCTCTACCATGTTGAACAGTTAGGGGCTGGCCAATTCCCCTAATGTTCCAGCTGAGAATACTTATGATTGGTTGACAGGCTGTTGTGGGACAGCCTATCTCAACCCCTTATCACGAGTGTCCTCTATCTCCATCTGGTTCCTCTCCTCCATTTCTAGTCCTTGCATTCTTTGTCGAATTCTTTTGCCATCTTCCAATTCTGTGCCTGAAGGTGTGTCTTCATCTCCTCTTGCTCTCTTTCCCTTTCCGTCTTCTCCACTGTTCTGTTTTACAGCTTTCGGTTTCTCCTCTTCTGGGGATGGTGAGTCTTTGAGGAAAGCTGCCACCATTTCATCTTCATTTACCGAGCATCTAAAGTCTGGCGCTACCCCTTGCTGTTCTTGTTCTTCACCCTGTTCCTGTACCATCTCCACACTGTTTTTAACGATCGCTGGTAGATTGTTACTCGCAAAATCTTGAAAAGATATTCTAGACCACCAGCTTCTTGTTCCTCTTCATGTATTAAATTGGTACCCATCTGCAATAACATCCAGCTGAAACTTAATGTTTTCCCTATTCATCAGATTAGCTTCCCTGTTTTTGCGTTCTCCCATGGCAATACTTTCTGCTCTCTCTCCCTCTTGTCCTGCAAACTTTGCATTTGTGAACATTATTCCTCCCCCCGGCATGTTCACCTATCTTGGTTCATTGCTCCCTGGTTGGATAAAAGGATCATTTTGGTGTATACTCTACAACCCATCCAGCATTATACCACTGTGTTTTGCCATCTCTGCACAGACATGTTCGAATCTGGACTGTTCCCTGGCCATAGCGAACAACATGTCTTCATAATCTGCTAGATTTTGGAATCCTCCTTCATGACGCTCATACAGGTGCTGAACTCTGTCTATGGTGTTATGAAACTCAAACAATGGGTCCATAATTGGTTCAAAAGGTGGGTACTGGCTGCTTTCTTCTATGTTGTTTGCATGTGGTGGTCTGATTTGTAGAGGTTCAGGCTGAAGTATGGGAGCAGGCGTTAAAGCACTGAGCTCTGTCTGTAGGTTGATGATCTGGGCATCAAGGTTGCTTTGCCATTGGCCTTTTGAAGAACATTCTGGCACAATCATTATCTCCGAATCCAGCCTAACTGTATCATCTCTCAGATTCATGCAATGAGATCAATAAAGTTGTGAGTATTCATTTCATTCTGGTTTCCAGTTGTTTCCACCGGTTGGTTGGAGTAGTCTCTAGGTATATCATTGAAATCCTCATTTGCAATCATAAGATTCTCCTCCTCCTCTGGTAGGTTGAGGTTGTTTTGTGGCTGGTGCTCTGTGACTTGCACTTGTGTATGTGCTGTATTCTGCATTTCCGTGAGTGCTTCACCTCTGACTTCTGTTTGGTTTTCATCTATTCGTAGTGCTCCTCTATTCTGATTCTGCCTGCAGATGATTCTTGTGTTCCTACGGCTAGCTCTGTTTCTGAAAGCTCTCATCTGGTTGGAGAGGAAATGATTCTCCTCATCCACCACGATGGGATAGCCATATGCTTCACTGACTCTGATCAGCCTGCTATTGATTCTTCTGTCCACCTCTATTCGAGCAATGTTGCAGTTTGGGTGCGTGTGGCCTATCAAACCACAAGAAAGGCAGAATTTATCGATTCTTTCATAACTGAACTGAATCCATCTTGTATCTCCATCATCCATCTCCAGTGTAATCCCAGGGGTTAGTGGCTCATTCAAATCCACTCTTAGGAAGACTCACATGTATCTTATGTTCCTTGGCATGTTATCCTCCAGTCCACTTCTAGGACCTCCCCTGCTGTCTGGGCCATTCTTTCTATAATGGATGGCAGCTGGTACTCAAAAGGTAAGCCCTCCAAATATAGCCACAGGTCGATTTTTGGTAATCTAGCTTCTCTTAGAGGGATATTTGGGTCCCATAGTTTGACTACCATAATAGCCCCATCCATGCACCAAGGGTTGCCCTTCACTCCCACCTGTCGATCAGTCGTATTGTTGAAGTGAATCAAGTATCTGTCCCTTTCCCTCCCCATGACAGTAGCTTCTCCTTTTAACTCCCAGGCTCTGGTGATGTAGGGTTGGACAAAGTTGCTTGAAATCTGCCAAAATCAATGACAAAGGCGATCAGGCATTCCCTTTCTTCGTTTCTGCGACTTTGAATTTCTAACGTTGGGAAGCTTATGCGATGGCTTCTTCTGTTTCTAATTTCAGGGGAAGGTCTTGGGTTTAGATTCAAGGGGTTACTATTTCCACAATCACCATTTTCATAAAAGGACGTATCACTATCTGTCCAACTACACTCTCTCTCTATTCGTATTCTTAGAAACCAGGTGGAGCCATTTTTTGGAAAAGGGGGATAAAAGAGACAAAGAGTTGAAGCTGCTTCTTCCTGGGTTCAAAACCTGGTTTTAAGAAGGGTAAGAAGCGCCTCATCTCCCTCTTCCTTCTAATTGTCTCCTCGATCTTCATGTTCGAATAATTGTTGTTTTCTCGAGAAGCTGCTCCCTTTCGCTTACCAAGAAGAACAAAACTGTTCTATTGGACAAAGTCTGTTTTCAGGGATCCGAAACGTTTCCCATGCTATATTAGCTAGCGTCTCCACTGGAAACAAAAAGGATTAACAATAAATCGCAATAAATCCTAATTACTATTGGTTTTAAGAGGATAAGAACGGGTGAGACAACGAATAGGGAAATCTCTAATTACTTTATTTTTTTTAGCTGAAAAGAGTGAGAAAAGGAAAACTTAGGGTTTGAGAAGAAAATCTATTGCGGATTCGACTAGGAAAGACAAGAAGAAAAAATAAGGAGAAATCAACAAGGATTTAGACACTAAGATGAAGATAGAAATGAATTTCGATTAAAGAAAAAATGATTTTGGATTGGAGATAGGGTTTCAGGATAGTCGAGTGAAAGCCCTCAGAGTTAAGAGAAAATTAGGCGCGCGTGGAAACAACGCGTTGAAACGACAAAAGAAGCCATCAGCTTTGTGATTGGTAGTGGGATTTGAATCCATAATATAGTAAAATAGTTATAAACTACTTAACCACTCCACTAGCATGCCTTTTATGTCATTATTATGCAACAATTAATATTTATTATAAGTAAGTTTTTTGTTTTTACCTCAATTGCCTTCATCAAACTGGACCGGCAGCTGAATCGGTCGGATCGATCAAACCGGTGACCGGAGCCTTCATTGGTCCGGTTTTAAAAACCATAAGAATACTTTGATAAAAAAAAACAAATGATTTGGGACCGATGGAGTATTAAGTAATTTACTGTTGATGAATATACTTAATTATGAAGCATGAATCTTCATCACTAGGTACGTAGCTATATATTTTTTTTTTTGAGAAAAAAATTCTATTTCATTCATATAACATACGGGTTACAAACATCAGGTGGTAAAGACATGTACCATACATAGCTAACAGCCTTTGACAAAGCAAGCTTTGCGTACAAACATTAGTTTCTCTCTTAACATGAACAAAAGAAATGCTATCAAAGAAACTAACTAGACCCCGAGTATCATCTAAAAGACAAGCACCCTCCCAATGACAAGGCTCCCTACTATTAATTGCTAAAATTGCAACTAAACAATCACTCTCACATACACAATTCCTAACACCCTCTTCAATAGCCAAATGTATTCCCATCTTAATCGCCATAACTTCTCCATAAAGTGAATTCGAGACAAAGTCCTTGGTAATTAATTGGGAACAACGAACTTCTCCATCCCAATCTCTCATCACCATTGCAAGTCCTGCAGATTTTGCTGCATTATTATAGGCTGCGTCAACGTTTATTTTCAATACATCAACTGGTGGAGCTCACCATCGAATTACTGCTCTGTTATCCTCCTGCGCTTGGATCAAATTATCCTCCTTATATGCTTGCTGCATATGGTGTTCAGTACTTAAGGAGATAGACAAAGGTGTCCCACAAGTATTCTCATGGAGACATCTGTTCCTATTATACCATAACATCCAACATACAAAGTACACTCGATCGCAAGAGCCAAGTTGGGAAGCTTTTTGAAACACACAATGCAAGAAATCTTCCCTACCTCCCCACATCTCAAAACAAGCATAGATCCAAGGAAATCGTAACTCCCAAACAGCTCGACTAAGAGGGCATTCAAAGAACAAATGCGTCATAGTTTCCCTCCTACTCCCACACACAACACAATCATCCTCTAGAAACATTCCTTTTTGCTGCAAAACTGACCGAATTGGCAAAAAACCATTCACCAGCCTCCAAAGGAAGAACTGGACCTTTGGATACACCCTCGATCTCCAAATCAAATTCCATAAACGACATCGATCTGTTATTAAAGATCCATCTCGACCTAGAATTCTCCGAGCAAGGAAGTAACCAGACCGCACTGTGAACCTTCCCATCGGGTCCAAATTCCATATCAAAGCATCATTCACTCCTTGGTTCGGAATCGGCAACGCACGAACTCAACAACAATCCTCATCACCCAACAGCTATTCCAATTTCTCCAGGTTCCACGATCGAGAATGGTGATGAATAAAATCCGAGACTCGTATATCAGCGTAATCAGGCATAGCATCCTTCATCCTTGGTTTAAACAGGGGCGGCTTATCAGTCCATTTATCATGAAAGGCTCTAATTGAAACTCCACTACCAATCCGCCATCGACAGCCTTCATGTAAAATTGCTCTTCCAGCCATTAAACTCCTCCATAAAAAGGACGGATTCCTTCCTATAGAGGCTCGGATCAAGGAAGAACCCCAAAAATATTTAGCCTTTAATAACCTATAACACAATGAATCTTGTTTCCGCATCAACCTCCAACACTGTTTCGCTAGTAAAGACAGGTTAACCGTTTTAAAGTCTCGAAAACCTAAGCCTCCATTAGACTTAGAAACACATAATTTATCCCAATTACACCAATGAGTTTTCTTCAGATCATTTTTCCCACCCCACCAAAAATTGGCGATGATCATGTTCAAGTCATGGAGAAAAGTTTTGGGGAACTTAAAGCAACTCATGAGATAAAGAGGCATGGATTGTGCAACCGACTTAATCAAAGCTGACTTACCAACTATAGACAGAAGTTTCCCATTCCAACTCCTCACTCGACTCCAAAGTCTATCTTTTATAAAGTGAAGCTCTCGTCTCCTTGATCTACCAATCATAATCGGTAAACCAAGGTACTTGTCATTCTCCAAAATTCGCCCCACCTCCAAACGTTGCATAATATTAGCTCGCAAATCCTCAGAAGTATTGCTACTAAAAATCAAGACAGATTTATCAATATTAATCTGTTGTCACGATGCTGCCTCAAACTCCTGTAATAAATCCCTTACTACATCACACTCATTGAAATTAGCTCGGAAAAACAATAAACTATCATCGGCAAAAAAATAGATGTGAAACTTTACGAGCATGCCTATTTATTGCAACCCCTTCAATTAACCCCTTAGTCTCTGCATCCTTGATTATCACTGAAAAACCCTCCATGCATAACAAAAATAAATATGGACTTAACGGATCACCTTGACGAATTCCCCTGGAAGGCACAATACACTCACTTTGCTGCCCATTAATAATTATAGAGTAAGTAACTGTCCTTATACAATACATAACATTTGAAATCCAACGAGATGGAAAACCCATTTTATGCATTAGACTCTCCAAAAAACACCATTCTACCGTATCATAGGCTTTACTTAAATCCAACTTCAAAGCCATATGCTTCTTCCGTCCCGACACCTTATTCTTCATAATGTGCACTGTTTCAAACGCAACCATGGCACTATCTAATATCACTCTATTCGGAACAAATACACTCTGATTTTCTCCAGTTAATTCAGGCAAAATAGTTCTCAATCTATTGGCCAAAGCTTTCGAAATAATTTTAAACACTACATTACATAAGCTAATAGGTCTATAGTCCTTTGGCAAAACAGGGGAATCAATTTTCGGAATTGAAGCAATGCAAGTATCGTTAATGTCAGGAAAAGGAATACCTTCATTCGAAAATCTTAAAGCCATCATTATCACATCATCTCCAACAACTCCCAAGAACTTTTGATAAAACATGGGAGTCATCCCATCATGACCTGGCGGCTTATTAGGATTCATGTCAAAAACCGCCTGACAGATTTCAGCACTAGTAAAATCTTTTCCCAAATGATCTCGCATATCAGAACTCAACGCAACCTTCACCTTTTCAACTACCAAATCCACCTGCGCTCTTATCGGATTAGAAGAAGAGAACATATCTCTATAATAACCTACAAACTCATCTTCAATACTTCGAAAGTCAGCCATCCAACGCCTTTCACTATTCCTTATTCTTGAAATCATATTCCGATTCCTACGGGCTGAGGCTAAAGAATGAAAATACCTTGTATTCTTATCTCCATCCCGCAACCAAAATGCCTTAGAGCGTTGCCTCCACATCACCTCCTCATTTTTATATAAATCATTAAGCTCCTCTTGACATCTCTGTAATCTCCCTTCAGTATCACCTGTTTGAGCTTCCATGAAAACCTCATTGAACTCTCTCTTTTTCTGCACAATAGCATGCTTAACATTACCAAAGCTTTCCCTATCCCAGACTGAAAGCTCCTTAGCACAATTATTCATCTTCTCAACAATATCACTCTTAGCCGAACTCTTCCAACGCACTCACCACTTCACCAATAGCTCCATGTGAACACCATATAGATTCAAAACGGAATCGCTTCTTGCTGCCCTTCACCATATCAATCTGAGCACTAACCCCAAATTAAAATTGGAATATGGTCAGAGATGGTCGACGGGATATGTCTCTCAAAACTGTGTTCAAACATCTCCAACCAAGTCTTGGATACAAAGCCACGATCCAAATATTCCATCACCTGCTCCCCATTTATTTTCCTGTGCCATGTCATTTTGGGCCCTTGTAAAGGAAGTTCCAGTAACTCACAATAATTTATTGTCTCCCGAAAAGAATCCATCAAATATTGAGGCCTTAAAGCACCCCCTCTCTTATCCTCCATAGATAGAATTTCATTAAAATCTCCCATAATTAACCATGGCAAATCAGATTGAGTTTTGAGATGTCTAATTAAATTCCAAGATTGGTTTCTCCTTGATGTCTCTGGAACACCATAGAAACCAGTAAATCGCCAAGAGGAAGCTGAGTTTTGATTCACATGAACATCTATACGATTCATCGAGTAGGACAACAAAGAAATATTTATTCCATTATTTTAGAACAAAGATAAACCCCCTGCTCTACCATTACAATCTACTGAAAAACAACTATCAAAATTCAATCTAACCCTAATCCACTCCATCTCCGATTGTATTCTTTTTGTTTCTGAAAGAAAAACAATATCAAGAATGTTACAATGGATTAGATCGATCAACATATCAACTGCCCGGGAGGAACCCAACCCCCGGTAGTTCAAGGCTAGGCAATTCATTTTCGTCGGCAGAGGTGAGCCTCATCTGCTCCCTCCGTCGTTGGTTTCGCTTGCTCATCAGCTCCATCCGGTTCTTCAACCCTGTCCTCTGTCTGCGACTTACGCTCCTTTGATTTCTTCAATGCTCCAGCTTCACTCACATCCAGCAAAGATATTCCTTTTGAACGCTTCCTGCCCTCCTTGATATTTGATGCCTGCGCCAAGAAGTCGAAGGAATACTTCTCCCAGTCCCTTGCTGCCTTTTTCCACGTCCTTCCTAAACTCTGTTTCCCCGAGTCACCAGTATTGAAAACAAAAGCTGTAGTAGGAGATAGCTCATTAGAATTAGGCTTAATAGTTGGGTTTTCAATTACCTGCCTAACAACACATTTCTCTTTGAAGCCCAAATTATCATGAACCGACCCATCCATTTTTTTGTCTTCTACAGCGGGCCCAACACCAGGAATAATTTGGCCCAGTATATTGGCCAATTTTGCAGCATCAAAGTTTGCAGGTTCCACGTTCTTCTACCCTCGCCCCCCTGGTGCTGAAGACTCAGCCGAACCCACATCCACTTTTAACGGCAGAAAATCTTCCTCGTTCTTTCTCTCCCCCACCTATTCCCCAACAGGCCTTACCAAAGACGGACCAGCTCCCTTCATTGTAGCCACTTCAGTTACCTTATCATTCTCCAATAAGCCATGATCAACCACCTTACCCACATATGGTAGTTCAGCAACTCCCATGAAATCCGCATCCTGCAAAACAGAATTCCCCCGAAAATAGGAAGCCACTTCACACGAATCACCTTCCTCCTCTATCTCACGCGCCACACCATTGCCACGTGGGAGAAGACTATTGACATGATATCGAACACCTCTCGGAGATGTCACCGGGGGCACCGGGATATACTCAGAAACCCGAGTTCCGCTATTTCCCGATCTATTTTGTGGCGATCCAAAGTTGAGATTTCTCCGGCTAACAGACCCGTAACCAACAGAACCTGGTGATGCCGGATTCATAGATGCCCTCCTTTCACCAGCATCCTTCCCCTCAAAACGTGGAGAGTACATCAATGCTGACTCAGGCATTAGTGAATCGAAAAACTTCCGCTCCGCCTTCCCTAATGTCTTCCGCTTCTGAGCCGCCAACAGACAATCACCCTCCTGGTGATCAAGCATCCCACAAACCCAACACACATCCGGGCGCTTCTCATACAAAAACTTCACCTCAAAATCTCCCCCATTCTCAGTAAGAGAAAGGATCGTCCTAGTCAACAATGGCTTCCCCACATCAACGCTGACCCGAAGCCTAATGAAGCGCCATCGGGCACATCAACCTCGAGAACCTTCCCCAAAGACTCTCCTATGGCTACCCCGAACTTTCATCCATCAAACGCGGTGGAACCTTATAAACCCTTACCCAAAAAGGGCAAGAAACAAATTGAACTTCCTCTGACAACCTAAAGCCCCCATACTCCTGGAAAAGCAGCAAGGATTTGTTGAACGTCCAAGGTTGATTCATCAGCACCTTATCCTTCTCCAAATCATCCTCGAACTGGAAAAAAAAAGAGCCTCTCACCTACCTCCTTAACAGCGAGTCCTTTTTCCAAACTCCAGGCCTGGAAAAAGATCGTCCTCAAGATATTAGCTTTGACCTTTTTCTCAGAAAATAGTTTTGCGATGAGGCAAAACCATTCATCCTCACCCACAATACCATTCACCCACCCTTGCTCGATAATGACTTTCCCCTTCCCCTCCTCAGTAATGGAGAGCTTAGAATACATATTCGAAAGGTTACCCTCCTCCATTGGCAATAAAAAAACGAAAGGCCGATGAAAAACAGAACTAGCACACAAACACCCAAAACAATGAAAAATCCACCAATACCACTCATACTGGTAAGTAACAGAACAACTCTTTAAAAAGAGCTGATCTTGGATTCGAAAATTGAATTTGAATTCAAACAATTGAAAGCTAATCGTAACCAACTGATCCTCAAGATAATTAGATATCTTATCTAAGGAAATCAACTTGTACCAAGACAAGAAAGAGCCTTCAACATGGAGGAAAACTGAAGCAAGCAGAGAAGGCATTTTTTCCTTTACAATTCACTTTCTTGTACTGATATCTTCTTCCGATACGTAGCTATATATAGATAATATATAGGGAGAATTTCAAATAATTAGGGCAGTCCACCAACAATTATTATTAATAATCGGTACCATGTTAAATTAAAATTATTAAGAAGGAAATCAAACTTCTAAAATTATTAAAGAGGATGTTGTAATGACACTTTTAACCTTCCTTAACATTTCAATTCAAGCCAAAAATTCCAACTCAAATCGTTGAAGGCCGGCAGAAAAAAAAATCGTTGTAAAGATGAATAGAAAAAATCCTGAGAAGAATAAAGGACAAAGCTTGGTTTTCAAAAAGAGAGAGAGAGAGAGAGAGAGAGAGAGAGAGAGAGAGAGAGAGAG